CAAACTAAGCTTCCCGGGAGCCGCTCGCCGGCGGGCTCTGAGCGCCGACTCTTGGCTTTTCGCAGCGGTCTTGCGCGGTGTTGACCGCCAGAGGCGACTGCGCCGTGCTAGAGGACGTGCGCCTTCCATTGCACTCCTGCAAAACAGTCAAGCGGGTGGTTCCTCATGTACGGCCCGCTGCCTGCCAGGCTCGCTTTCCGCACGCCGCGTCTAGCGGGTATCGGATTTATCCGTGCGGCCACGCGATTAGCTGCTACGTTTCGCGCCTGCTCTTTCTGGGTGGCGGGAGTGAGAACCCAGACTCAACACGGGCTTTTTTCCAGCAGGAACAAATCCGTACCGCGCTTCGACTGCACACCAGCAGCTTCTTGCAGCATGTTTGCAATCGCAGCGTCAGGCTGGACTTTGCTCTTCTTTTCATTTGACATGTTTTTGGGGTGAAAACATCACAGTCTGCAAGCTTTTTAACAATACTAAGGGGAAAAAAAGCTTATATTTAGTAAAGCGCTGGTTTCCACACTAAGGGACTGACGCTTGCTTCCTGTGTTTCGCTCTGACGTGATGGGTGTTTCCTGCCGTCACCGGCCGGTGTCCTTTTACAGCACCAGCTCTCTCATTGACACCTCAGTACGCGGTACATTTGCAGCCGTAGGATAGTCTCCATTTCCCAAACAAGCTTAATCTTTTACAAATGTTATTGCACCTTTTAAATCTAGTTCTCTCTCAAAGCAAAAGCAAGCACTGACCACATCCTCTAAATGTCACCCGTTTCTCTTCAGCATGCCTAAGTCTCCCCCTTGTGTCTTCGCTGCAGCGCTAGCTCAGCTACGAGCCGGTGCACCGCGGTCCTGCCTAAGGCCGCCGCCGAGCTCGGCGACGCTCGAACCATCGCGTGCCGCGCTCAAGTTCCTCCTCCCCGTGCGGGGGACGGGTGCTGGGTTCCTCTTGAGCTGCTTTGAGCTTCAACTTCTGCAACGCTGTTTTGCTGAGCGCGAGTGGCCCGAAGGCTGGGTCCTGCCAGGAGCCCTGCGCTGCGACATCGCGCACAAATCCTGCCCGCTGCTGCTTGCAAAATCGCCACTTAACGCTTTAGAGCGGTGCTGTGCCCAGGTGGGCGGCTGTGCTCTGCACTGCTCTGCCGCCCGCTCGGGGAGGGTATTTATCGTGGGCGAGAGCTCGGGATTGCTGCTAAACCTGCCCCACTTTGCACCCCAGCTGCAAAGCACATTTTTTTAGACTTTGCTGCAGCAGAAAGGCCAGGAAGCCCCAGCTCCCAGCTGGGCCAGGCAGCACTGGGCAGCGCCCGCGGAGCCAGGGCTGGACGCTCGGTGCTGCACTCGTGGCCGCGCGCTCCACGCGCCTCTTAAATCCTGCAATTCTGGTGGCTTTTCAAAGCATGAACACCCTTAGCAGGATTGTTTTTTCACACACACACACACACACACAAATGCATAACTATGCATGCAGATACACACATGCACGCACATGCATATGCACACACACACGCTCACATACATGCAGATGCACGTGTGTGCACACACATGCACACGCACATGCACACATATGCGCACACACATGCACACACACACACGGAC